ACTGTGCACCACTTTTTCCAGAATTGTTTAAATAAAAGGCAGCCCAAAAATGGGTCTGACAAGAATGCAGTTGTATCTGATCGCGCCTTAACGGTTGACTTGGAGCGCTTAACATTTGAATTTCCCCGTATCATCTAGCTCCTTCTTCTGCAGTATTTCAGTCAAAGCAGCAGACTTTTTAAATTACACTGAATTCTAAAAGCTGCATTTGGAAGGGGCCCGTGGTGAGCGCTGGATGGTTGTACTTTAATCAAACGCGTGAAGACAAGAAATGTTCAATTGAGCCATAAAATGCTCCAAGGCTTGCAAAATGAGCTACCTGATATGAAGGGAAATGAGGCTGTCTCTCCTCTGAAGCTTGTTGCTTGACTCTGGGACTTGGATCAGAGATGTGGAAACTCGACGCCCCGACTCTTTAATCACTTCAATGATTAAAGCGTGTGTTGACTGTCTCGCATACAAGACCAATCCAGCATTAGTACAACACATCCGAGAGGAATTGTGGGCGAAAATAATGTGATGCACTACTCACTCTTATCCATGCATTTTGATCGTGCGACATTCATGTTGTAAAAACAACAAGAGGGGCGCCGCATCGTATATTATAATCCGTTAATTAAACCGTTGGGATTCTTTAGTCATGTGATGAAAACCCTTCTCCTGTTTTGTTGTGTTGGAGAGACTCGCCCCCTTGGCGGTTAATGGGAATCCATTTTGTGTGTGTGTGTGTGTGTGTGTGTGTGTGTGTGTGTGTGTGTGTGTGTGTGTGTGTGTGTGTGTGTGTGTGTGTGTGTGGTGATTTTTGCCATTCAAAAAGTAATTGTTTTCCCATCCTCACAAGGGTAGCGGGGGGTGCTGGAGCCTTTCCCAGCTGTCTTCGGGCAGTAGGCGGGGGGGACACCCTGAACTGGTTGCCAGCCAATCGCAGGGCACACGTAAGAACTGCCTCTGTAAATTTCATGTACGAGGCAATTCAAATTGCTTCACTCATAACATTTAAACCATGACAGAAAGTGAAACAAAGCATTAAACCATCACAATAAAAGCATTTTAGGTAAGCTGGTTGATTTTTTTATTTTTTTAATTAACATCTGTAAAGACACCATTTTAGTCATCACGATCTCGGTCCTTTCATTCTTGGGGCCAAAAATAATCCCTTTTGAAAACTGTCTTTTTATCTGCCATAATGAAAAGTTTGTTTTTGTGCCGCCTGTGCTCAGCTTGTCTACATACTCGTTTGTGAGCTTTAACCAGCGGGGCATTTCTCCATGGTGACTTTTTCCTGACTTTGGTCTTAATTGGGGCAATCCATTACATGCAGTCAAAACTGGAGAACAGAAAACTTTTAAAAGGTCATCAACAGAAGCTGAGGGCAGGCTCGCTGATGGTGTGAAAGCCCAAGTGAATAATGTACAGATCTTTTCATCAATATCATGCTTTCGGATTACCTCAGCCCCACCTTGTTCAAATTAGGATGAGCTGATGTTTTAAATAAAACAGAGTATTCATGAGGTTTCAGAGTTGTTTAGCATTTCCATCTTTCAGATTGTCGACATGAATGTTAAAATCACCCCCAAAAACCTCATCGTCAAAATCAATGCACACAAGCGACAGTAACTTGGCAAAAACCTTTTGTGTTACATTTTGGATCGTTACACGATGGGAGAATTTGGACTGAAGAGCAGCATATTCTCCTGCTCCCCTTGTTGTTTGTTCATAAAAGCCCCAAAATGACGCCAGGTGATTTAATTATTTTTTTTAACCCATTTTGTACAGAAACGTCAAAGAAAAGAGGCATTGTGAAGTTGTAAGTCTACCATTGAGTAGATTTCAGTGAAACAATTCCTGTTCACAAAAATCAGAAGCATGATACATTTTCCATCACGTTACAGTCCCAGAGCTGCGTTTCCTCCCTCTGCAGTGTATAAGCACCGTGTGTTTTCTTCACGTAGCTATTTTAATCAGGCAGTTACCAGGTAGAGTAGAGAGAAAAGCTTTTGTGCTTTTCCCTAGACGTGCCCCCTCTTGTGTCTTCCCGTGATCCACTTGGCACACTCTGCAATCCCATGCTGAGACCTGCCTCATGGCGACGTTCACTGTCTCCTGTGGCATTGTCTACATCACTTGCTTCCCAATGCTGCCAGTTTTGAAATATTTCACCGTTCGCCTCCCTGAAGACAAAATCAATACTTCTTTTTTTTCCTCTTCGCATGTCTCGATTTCTTCTCCCCTGATAACTGCTATTACACATATTGGCTAGGTTAGGTGCTGTTCATGGATAGATGGACGGTATTCTATTTTTAGATGAGTGCTTTACAGCAGTGGTCCCCAACCCCCGGGCTGCGGACCGGTACCGGTCCCTGGGTCATTTGGTACCGGGCCGGACAGAAAGAATAAATAACTTAAGTTACTACCGTTTTATTCATTTCGGAATGTCTGATTGATGTTTTATTTAGAAAAACTACCGGATTCTCTGTGACATCCGTCTACAATATGTCACTCTTGACGCAGGTGAAGTCTCGCTTCTCAGTCACGTGATAAGTTAGCGCTAAAATCAAATCCGGGAGCTAGCGAAATGTGTAAAAAAACAAACGTCTTTGGAAAGTTTCTTTGGGAAGGGGAAACGGCCCAGCCAGGAGACAGAAGAGGAGCCTGCGACTTCCAAGAAAAAGAAGGCTACATTTAATAGACAATACTTAATATTTTAAAAAAAGGAGACCAAAACTAGTAAAATAGAACCCCGGTTTATAGGGGGGGGGGGCTGTGCACCCCAGAATCCCCCCTTAACTTTCCTCGGATTTTCTCTTCCTCATTTCACAGCCCTGTATTATTTTGTTGTATTTTTCTGGCCTTAAAGGCCGGTCCCTGAAAATATTGTCTGACCACAAACGGTCACGGTCCATGAGGCAAAAAAGGTTGGGGGTACCGCTGCTTTAACCCTTTCATGCCTGACCCATCAAGGAATAGCCAGAAAAATCTGATTTTTGGGAACTGAGATGTTCATTAAGAATTTAAATGTATTGTACATATCCATGACTTCTGAAATGATTGAAATCAGTTTGATTTGACAAATTGAATTGTTACATTTTCAAATGGTTGCATCCTTGAATCGTATTGCATGCACCCCATGTAGTGAGATACAAATAGATTTGTCTTTTTTGATGGATGTAAAACAAATATAAATTCATCGTAATCCAAGTGAATGCACTGAAAATCATATGAAATCATCTTTGAAGAGATGCACAGCCCTACTGATTGGTGAAAGGAACAATCTCATTTCTCACGGTTGAAATCAATATTAGAAATTTGAAAATTTTAAGTGCTTCGAACAAAGTGTTTCGGCCAGCAGATGATACCCCTCAACAAAAACTAAACATCTGTGTTTTTAAGAGCATCATAATTGATGCAGCTGCAGTGGATCTTAATAACAGGACTTCAGTGACGTTTTGCAAAGGGAGGACACATGAGCTGTTGCTCTAAACGCGAGCTTCGGGCGTGAAAGTGTTAATCCTGAAATATTTCCAAGTGATTCATGATTATGTGCCTCCCCCCTTAGGCTAATCACCGCGGCAGGGGGCTTCCACCGCGATGAAGAGTTGAAGGGGAGTTGGGTGGTGACTTGGAGCGGGAGACCCGCTCGCCCACGGCGCTGCTATTGGTTTATCCGTGACGTGATGACATGGAGGAGTCGGCTTGAGGACTTTATAAAAGCTTCTGAGCGCGCGGCGAGCCACTCTACGAAACCAAGCCTGTTTAAAGAACCAACCTCAACTTATAGGTGCAACATGAGCGAGGTAAGACCATCTGACGCGTTTTTGTCGGTTACTACGCACAGTGGTCGCGGTCACGCGCACAGGGGGAAGCATCATTAGCGGGGATTAATAACTTAAGTTACTACCGTTTTATTCATTTCGGAATGTCTGATTGATGTTTTATTTAGAAAAACTACCGGATTCTCTGTGACATCCGTCTACAATATGTCACTCTTGACGCAGGTGAAGTCTCGCTTCTCAGTCACGTGATAAGTTAGCGCTAAAATCAAATCCGGGAGCTAGCGAAATGTGTAAAAAAACAAACGTCTTTGGAAAGTTTCTTTGGGAAGGGGAAACGGCCCAGCCAGGAGACAGAAGAGGAGCCTGCGACTTCCAAGAAAAAGAAGGCTACATTTAATAGACAATACTTAATATTTTAAAAAAAGGAGACCAAAACTAGTAAAATAGAACCCCGGTTTATAGGGGGGGGGGGCTGTGCACCCCAGAATCCCCCCTTAACTTTCCTCGGATTTTCTCTTCCTCATTTCACAGCCCTGTATTATTTTGTTGTATTTTTCTGGCCTTAAAGGCCGGTCCCTGAAAATATTGTCTGACCACAAACGGTCACGGTCCATGAGGCAAAAAAGGTTGGGGGTACCGCTGCTTTAACCCTTTCATGCCTGACCCATCAAGGAATAGCCAGAAAAATCTGATTTTTGGGAACTGAGATGTTCATTAAGAATTTAAATGTATTGTACATATCCATGACTTCTGAAATGATTGAAATCAGTTTGATTTGACAAATTGAATTGTTACATTTTCAAATGGTTGCATCCTTGAATCGTATTGCATGCACCCCATGTAGTGAGATACAAATAGATTTGTCTTTTTTGATGGATGTAAAACAAATATAAATTCATCGTAATCCAAGTGAATGCACTGAAAATCATATGAAATCATCTTTGAAGAGATGCACAGCCCTACTGATTGGTGAAAGGAACAATCTCATTTCTCACGGTTGAAATCAATATTAGAAATTTGAAAATTTTAAGTGCTTCGAACAAAGTGTTTTGGCCAGCAGATGATACCCCTCAACAAAAACTAAACATCTGTGTTTTTAAGAGCATCATAATTGATGCAGCTGCAGTGGATCTTAATAACAGGACTTCAGTGACGTTTTGCAAAGGGAGGACACATGAGCTGTTGCTCTAAACGCGAGCTTCGGGCGTGAAAGTGTTAATCCTGAAATATTTCCAAGTGATTCATGATTATGTGCCTCCCCCCTTAGGCTAATCACCGCGGCAGGGGGCTTCCACCGCGATGAAGAGTTGAAGGGGAGTTGGGTGGTGACTTGGAGCGGGAGACCCGCTCGCCCACGGCGCTGCTATTGGTTTATCCGTGACGTGATGACATGGAGGAGTCGGCTTGAGGACTTTATAAAAGCTTCTGAGCGCGCGGCGAGCCACTCTACGAAACCAAGCCTGTTTAAAGAACCAACCTCAACTTATAGGTGCAACATGAGCGAGGTAAGACCATCTGACGCGTTTTTGTCGGTTACTACGCACAGTGGTCGCGGTCACGCGCACAGGGGGAAGCATCATTAGCGGGGATTATTGCCGACGCATTTCTTTTAAACGGTCATGTGATGTTGCAGTACTTTTAATGATGCTTTATTCACATCTGGATCATGAAATAGGGTGTGTGCTCCCTCGGGGTGACAGTCATGGATTTACGCACACACATTGGCTGCCTCTTTTCCCCGATCCATGTTGGAGCGATCATATTGCCAACAGAGTTGACAGGTGGACACGGAAAAAAAAGGGATACAATATGGGGAGCTCTGGATGGTATCTCGCAAAATTCAGCAACTATTTGCTAGTTGAATAATTGTAGTATGTTTGGTCATAAAGTGGAGATTTGCGTGAATTCGAACCAAATGACAATGTTTACACTTTATTACAAGAATGAATCTGATAACAAAGATGCACTAGTTAGTCTGGTCCTTTTTTAAGTTCCTGGACATGAGCAATCAATGTGACTTAAACACAAATGATGCTATCTTTTTTTTTAACCTACTTTTTAAATTTTAATTTATAATACAGTACAATGTCCCAAGATGGCGTAAGAGCACCAACATGACAATGTTGAAATCAAACCATTTAATAGATTCTTGGACTCAACGGCACCATTCAGCAGAAATTGATGAATTTGTTCATGTCAAGGACATGCCCACATTCAATATGACACCAAATGCAATGTATTTGAATTCATTTTAATGGACAATTGTGAGCATCTTGTGCTGCGCATTCGAGTGTTGTGTGAAAATGTTGACTGTGAATGCATCAAGGGATATGAGTGTCTCTTGTTGCACAAAGCATAACTGTCATCATCATCATCATCATGGAATATTTTTGTAATGGGAGCTCCACTTGAGGGAATAGGCGTATTGTGTGTAAACGAATATGGATGCTTTTACTGCACAATGCCCCTGTGGGTAAACTTGGATACATTGGCTGCGTCATTAGCTGCATCTGTTCATTTTCATGGGTTTCAATACAAGAGCGATAGCAAATGAACTATTACAAAGATAAAAGTGCTCAGTTTTGATTGACAATGTTCAGGTGGTACCAATACAAACATCAGAAATGGACAAAAACGTCAATCCTTGCATACCATTAGAAACCACATTATTATTTAGTATTATTGATGTAAAGTAAAAACAGTAGATAATTCCAATAGTTAAGAACATGCACATTTCTTTTCGAAAACCCTCAGTATTGCAGTTCTAGTCTGCATTATACCACAATAACGACAACATATACTTTTTAGTGCCAATCAGACAACTTGATACTGAAATCTTAATTATATTGGTCATAGTTGAATAAGCAAGTAAATTCGAATTTAATCACATCTCTGAAACTGACAGCCTGCCATTTCTGAGCCTGCATCTGTTAACACATGACGCTGATATCGTGGGCCCTATTTTCATGTGCAGTGCAAGTCTTTCTCAAAGTGTAGTCTCACTGTGTGCATGGGTGAAGTTTTCCTTTCTTTTGGCATTTTCGTAGATGGGTGCAGTTCGAAATGGGCGTCGCACTATTGTGTGAGTGAACACGGTTGACTCATTCTTTCTAAATGCAGCATCGGTGAGGTGCGTGGTTCATAGGGCAGAAGCATAACAGGTTCATGCAGGGGATTGGTGCGCGCAAATTACATTTAAAAGGGACGGCGAGAAGATCTCCGCAAGCGGATGACAATAAGAAGAATGAGAATAATGCATTCAATTTATTGATTTCGACAATGATTCGGAGGTTTCGATGCATGCCGGTGTCATACCGATGAATGAAATATGATGACATCCACCACATATCGGAGGAGTGCAGAATGTGTGTCTGCCTGTGCGTCGATCAAATTCACCAACAACTTAGACTTGGTTTCACCTGATCTAAAGTGTAGTCTACTCTCTGTCACCAAATTGGCAAGTGCGCCAGGGTCGCGTAAACAAAAAGCACCCTCGGACTGCCGAAACGTCCAGCGAGGTGTAGCGCAATCTGCCAAATCTCAAAACACAGTAAACTTGACTTGCCCCAGCACGAAAATCAAGATGTGCCAGTTTGTACGCCAAGTGCATGTGCGCCTGTCTATGGAAATAGTGCTCAGCAAGACAACACGACCTTGCTTTTGGTATGTTATCCCTCATTTCAGCCAAAGAGCCAAATGCCTGCTAGCTACTGCAGAAAAGAGGAGGAACTGTGATTCTAGTCTAACATTGCAAGAAAATATTCTGGGGGTTTGGACGGAAGGAATACAGTGAAGAAAAGCTTGTTTCAGTAAAATGCTTTTTTTTTAGCAATGTCTTTTGGGAGTGTTTTAACCTCAGGTTCAGGTGAAAAGTGTGCATACACCAAAAGCAAGCTTCAGAATAATAATAGATTAGACTTTCGGTGCACGATTCCATTCGAATGTATGTCTGTCATGACCTCATATGGCAAATGTAGACATCAGCAGGCTTCACCGCACGCCGTTCGTAACAAATTGTTCGCCGGATGGCTTAATAAAAGATGCATACTGGGTGTACACACACACACACACACAAGAGCTGTTTGAATAATTGAATCCCTTTCACCCGCAGCAAAATTTGATTTGTCGTTAATATACAAAGCAAAGAGACGCTGCCATTTCCTGTTGATGAATAAAGGTGTTACATTACAGTGGTTGTAGTGTGAATGGAAGCCGGATGAGGTGAGAATGAGATGATTATGTTAGTCACAGCAGTGAAGAGCAGAGTGAAGCCGAATGTCTGGAATATGTGGAGTCTCCAAACATGACCAGAATGAAGAAGAAGTAACTCGTAGACGAATGAGTCACCACCAGCCTCTCTGTCCCAGGCCACTCTCTTTCATAAACTCACAAGTAACGACATTAGGTACACTCTATCTGACATTCCATACACCTCATGTCCTCATGAGGGCCAAGGGCAACTAGCGCCCATCCCAGAGCACTTTGTTTTGGAATTGCAAGAATAATGGATAGATTCCACCCAGTGGACAAGAGTCGCGGGGTGTGCTGGAGCCTATCCCAGGTGTCTTCGGGTAGTAGGCGGGGGACACCCTAAACCGGTTGCCAAGCCAATCACAGGGCACACGTAAGAACTGCCTCTGTAAATTTCATGTATGAGGCAATTCAACTGCTTCACTCATAACATTTAATCCATGACAGAAAGTGAAACAAAGCAGTAGATATTCAGTAGATATTTTTATAGTACATATTTCAGTTAATTAATGAATAAATGAAAGACTTGTGACATATCAGACAATGACAACGTAATTACCTTGCGGTTTCTTACCCTCCGGATTTAGACTTAAACATCGCACGACTTCTGTCATGTGGCTCTGACCTTCTCAGGTTCCACAAAATGAAGTCCTCTCCCTCAACATTTTGGCACATGATCAATTTTTAAATGGTTTCCGAGCAACAAGGGGCGGCCCAACTTGCCCCTTTGTTGAACTTACCTCAGTCTCCCCTGCTGCATCATGCTCAGAGTTGTCTTCAGTATTTTGTCTCACCCATCTCCCTAAATTCGGCAAGCAAACTAATAGAAACAGACCATAGCATGATGCAGTACAGTGCCTATTGCACAGTAATTAACATAATATTGTTAATTGAATCCCCCTCTGAAAATGTGCATCTGAAAAACTTCCACGATGAGTATAAGATTTTGTTATTGTGCCGAATATAGCGTCCAGGAATGTAGCTGCGCAATACCCCCCAAGGTGCATTCCATCTTTACTTTTTAATTATACTCCGCTCTCTGACTCCCACCGCCTCTCCCTCTTCCATCCGACAAGCAAGTCAACAACATCAAAAAAGATTAAAAGTCCCGCAGAACAAGTCCCTAAAGCTTCTGTCAGCGTGTGCATGTCAAAGAGAAATAAACGAGCTGACAACAGATAAAATGTCAGTTCTTCTAGATAGTGGCAAATGGCTGACTGGGATGTTTTAATCCCTTTTCGCCCTTTGCACAGACAAGAGGTTAAGCTACTGACACTGCTACTAGACATCATGGTAAAACTGTTGCACTCATCAAGGGCTTCCACTCTAAAATATGTCACTCGAAATACTATTTCATCTATTAATTAACAGCGTGTTAGAGTGACATAACACTGCAATGAAAATGCCACATCAAAAGATTGTCTGCAGTTTCAACCATCACGGTCTCATGAGTGTCACCACAAATCGTGACTGATGAACAATCAATACATTGTGTTAAACGTTATGCTAAACGCGAAACTGAACTTGGCTACGCAGATATTACACGAGCAGTGTCAAAAGTTCAACTTCAAAAAGCGTAAAAGTCACCTTTAATTGAAACTGTCTGAGTGGTATTCATCAAATAAAGCTTTAAAAAAAAAATTCTGGTTACCTTGGATACAGTATCTCACCAAAGTGATATGCAACGTGATATGAAAGGTTAAGCTTATCTTAAGACAAGCATGTTTGTTTTTTTTCTGGCCTAACTTCAATATAGAGACAGGAATCGTACATTTGACAGAAAAATTATCTCTGTTACTTGAAGCAAGGGCTGGGACTTCTCCAAGTGATTGGACTGAAATATTTATTACAGCATGTAAATAGGTGGGGGCGGCCCGGTGCGCCAGCGGTTAGCGCGTCGACCTCACAGTGCAGAGGTCGTGGGTTCAATTCTGGCCCCGGCCTTCCCGTGTGGAGTTTGCACGTTCTTCCTGTGCCTGCGTGGGTTTTCTCCGGGTACTCCGGTTTCCTCCCACTTTCCAAAAACATGCATGGCAGGCTGATTGAACACTCCAAATTGTCCCTAGGTGTGAGTGTGAGCGCACATGGTTGTTCGTCTGTGTGTGCCCTGCGATTGGCTGACAACCGGTTCAGGGTGTCCCGCGCTTACTGCCGAAGACAGCTGGGATAGGCTCCAGCACCCAGAAAATGGATGGATGGATGTAAATAGCAGGTCATGCCATTGATACTTGGCACAAATGAGGCAAAAGCACAT